TTGAAAATCTCATTTGTTTCTCAATGGTAGTTTAAAAATTCTTCTGTCATGTGAATCTCATGGGAAAACTTGTGAACCAACCCATACAATATCAACCGTTACTTTCAAAATCTCGATGCTTTTATGCATCTATTTTAAATTCAATTGCACTTTTTTGAACTAATTTCTAATAACTCTCATTACTTATTTTATTATGTTCTTTCAATAATATTACTTAGTTAAAGCTTTGATTTAATAATTTTTAAAGTAGTACTTTCGTTTTTCTATTGTTTTATCATCTTTGTCAATGCTACGGTGGCCCCTTAAATGGCGCGCTGTATGACATGAATACACTAATAAGTATGCAAGGGCGGCAACACCGACACCTGAGCGTAATATTAAATATGTAAGAGTTCTCATATTATGAACGAATACAAACAACAAAAAGTTAGTTTATAAAACTAATATTAGGTAATAAACTTGGAATATAGATACTTTTATAGGTAAATGAATGAAATTAGTAGATATGATTCATAGGAAGTAATTATCTTATGTATTCAAGAAGCTAAATGAGTTAGAGAAAATGCTGAGGAGATTGAGAGCTTAGGTTTTAAACTTTGATATTCAGGTAGAAGTTCTCTACTAGAAATAATGTAGGTGTAATTATAGATATAAGTTTGAAAGATAATATTGGAAACTTATTAGAATTACAAATAGAATTATATTTCTAAATATTATTATTGATATTAAGATTTTTAATATTTAAGTGATTATGCTCTCCAAGCAGATTTAGATATATATATATATATATATATATATTTATATATATATATATATATGTTTAAGAGAAAAATTTTCGAATGACTTAGAAGAATTAATATAAATAACTTCTTGAAGAAAAAACTTTTGTTGAAGGAGATCCTAGAAATATTCATGATAGTTATAGTTTTGGAGTAACTAATGAAGAAGATAGTCATATTAGATTTTGCTTTAGCTTATGACTTTGTTATTGCTAATACTTTATTCAAGAAAAAGAGATGAACATATTATCACTTATAATATTGGATTTAATAAAATACAAATTGATTATTTTCTTATAGAAAAATAAGTCGTTTAGATTGTAAGACCATTCTAAGTGAAAATTTAAGTATCTAACATCGATTATTGGTTTTGAATTTTAAAATGAAGAGCGGGAAGATAAAAATACAATAAAATGTTATTATAGAATTATATGCAGGCACTTAAAATACATATAAAATTATTTTAATAGTAAACATAAAGATCTTAAGATTTGGAATGTTCATGAAGAAGTTAATATTATGTGGGATAATGTAACAAGTATTATTAAGTAAGTTGCAAATTATATGCTTGAAGAATCAAAAAGAAAATTCTTATGAATAAAAATAATTAGTGATGAAATAATAATGTGCAAGAAAATTTTAAAAATGAGTAGTTTTTTATAAAAATTGGTTTAGATGTAAAAACATAGAGAATTGGAAGAAAATATAAGGTATTCCGTATGGAGTTTTAGAGAATAATTTGTGATACTAAAAATTTTATTTTTAGTGATCTTTATAATAAATTTGTTATTGAAAAACAGTAAAAGATGTATGTATAAACCACGAAGCAAAGTAATAAGTAAAGGAATGATTTATTTCAAGTAAAGTGTATTAAGGATAAAAATTTAAAAATATTTTTATTAAATGAGAATATTCGATATAGGTGACTGAGATATTTTGATAATCTTTTCAATTAAATTTATGAAATAGAATCGAATTTAGTGATCTTAATATCATAAATAATAATAAAATTTTTTATTTGCACTATCACATTAGTAAAACAGAAGTTGAGGAAACTTTAATAAAATGAAATGTGAAAAGGTGTTGGTATCTGATAGTATCCTGATAGAAGTGTGAAAATATTTAGGAGATATGATAATTTTTTTGCTTGCAAAACTTTTTAGTAATATATTGAAAATTAAAAAGATGCCCGATGAGTGGAGAAACTATATATTTGTTTATGTTTTTAGAAATAAAGGGATGATGCATTTGAGTTTGCAAATTATAGAGGAATTAAGTTAATGTGTCATGCATTAAAGTTATGTGAGGGAGTAATTGAACATAGATTATGGCGTGATATAAAAATTTTTCAATATAATTTTTTATTCATGTCGAGTAAGTTTACCATGGAAACTATACATTTATTGAGAGGTTTGATGGAGATGTATAGGGAGAGTAAGGAGGAGATATATATATACATATATATATATATATACATATATATATATCATATATACATACATACATATACATATATATATGTATGTCTATATATATATATATATACAAAAAAGCCCAAGGGCTAATTCATTAAAGAGAAAATACATAGATAGGTTGTATGGGTGGGCCCAAAAATAGACACCCAACCCACGGTACAACACCCTCAAAAAGTCAAAAATGGTACATATAAAAATAAAAAAACCCAAAATCACTAGGGCTTTGAAAAAGTGAGGGTTATCCCAATCTGGTTCTGCCTCTGGCTCTAGTTCTCGGAAGGGATTCAACTAACAAATTGGTAAGGAGCGTACCATTACCCGAAGTAACCAAAGTATCATCCATAAGACTTCCATATTCACTTGAACCTTGAATTTCAAATTAGGGTGGAGTTTGTGACATTTATCAGAGATATGCCCAAACATATTACGGTGGGTTTAATATGGAGGTCTGAGTTTCATGACGATTTGTTGCCAATATCCATTATGAGCTGTGCCACTGAAGTTATGGTTAGATTAAAAGTGGGTAAATCTAGCTTCATAGGGTCCCCAAGGATGACCCCAATAGAGTAGAAAACCTGATGATGAAAAAAGTGCAGCTTGAGACCAGGTAGACTAAACCATATTTATACAGTCGGAGTTTCATGATTTGGGTCAAAATCAGGAGACTACTTGAGTAACTCATTGATTTGCCTGCGATATTAAGATATTTATTGGAGAAAATTCGGGAGTAGTCTTCAACCACGGTTAGTTGAATCGACACATGTCTCTCATCCATGAGTCTCACTTTCTACTTGCTTACAAGTTTA